CCCAGGGTGCACCACGTGGAGGTAAGTCTATCGCACACTTTATCATAAGTTTTACAAAAAATTTCCTTGAGACATATTGATGATTTTTCTATGAATTGGGGCTTATTAGAAGCCATGACCTACAAGTGGCTTAAAGGTTAATGGTGACCCAGTTTTCGACCGACCGCACCGCGCCGCATTCCTCCAGTTTTCACCTTTTCCCTCTCCCAAGTGAGGTGAGACGGTGCAGGATGATTTGCCATGACTCTCAAATCGACTGACATCGTTCTTTGGCATTTACCCCCCACTCTCTTCCGCATGAGATTCTAGCATTTAGTTTACTTGAGAGAGGGTAAAGAGGAATCGCCTCTGATTTTGCCACAGTTTATTCAATCACTGTCTTGCCAATTTTATCCTCTTTATTGTACCTTTTTCTGCTTCTCTTAAAAATAAGCACGAATGGAACCTCAATACGAGATTGAAGAGTTCAACAAGTGCTAATAATGATCGCTGAATTGACGCCTTTTTAATAATTTGATTAATCTCAAGTTTAAGGAGACAGTCGAAGAGCTGTTAGAATTGGTGGAGTTGCCTAATCGGTGGCCCGAATGGGTGAATACGTTAGTGAGTAAATAAACATGAACCAATTGAAAGTGATACGCAATAAAAGTACACCGAATCGAGTTTTATTACACAGTTGACGCCACGCACAACACGGATATACTGAACTCTTAAGCTGAATGTACTTAAGTGTGGATGTTAGAATTTATTCCCCATTACTTCACGATATCCTTCTACCTTACTTTCGAACACCATCAAATGCATTGAAATTTCATAAAGGTTAAAATTCATAGGTGAAACGTTGAACCGGTTCAAAAGTGTCAGTTTGAGGTTTCCTTGTAAGATGATAAAGAAATCTCGTTGTATAATTTGCCATGGAAAGGCTAAGATAGCAATGTGCTTTGATTTATCCATATCTATAATCGCTATTTCATTGAACAAATTTTTTATATGGTTCTTTAGGAAAAGCAGGCAAAGGCCAACACGGAACACGAGTTGAGTGCCGCTCTGGCTCGCCACGGTCACCACTTGGCTCAGATGCTTCGCCTCAAACAGGACGAGCTCGAGAGTCAATTCGACCTTCGCATGCGAGAAGCCCTTGAGGAACAGAAGGTCGCCATTGAGGGTGAAATCTATCGCTGGATTCGTCGTATGGAAGCCATTGAACACGTAGTGGACTGTCGTGCTGATATCGATCGAGTTGCTAAGGAGACGCAGGCCCTCTGGCTCGCTGTAGAATCCCTCGCTTTCGCTTTGGAGATGCCGTTTTCAAAAATTGGCGCCACAAGCAGTCTGCAACGCCAATCCGGTGAGTTCAAACCATTCTATGTGAGCGAACCACTGGGTAGCTATGTGGAGACTGTCAAAGAAACTGCTGGCCCAAATCACGAATTCGCAGCTGTGGTTGTTGACAGTCTACCCGAAGAGGTGCTAACTAAAGGTGTCTATACAAGGCAGGGTCTTCTTCATCGCTTCAATAAGGTCTGTTTTGTTTACCTTGAATGTGCGATTGAATATTGTGTTTGCTTAACATCTACGTTTTGCATGATATAGGTTTATAAGACCGCATGCAATGTCGCACTAGTTGGCGAAACTGGCGGATCATTGTGGAGCTATGCCATCTCTTGGTTGCAGGCCCGTCTACTTTTCGATAGTCTAGGTCGCAGGCGAATGCTTTCTAGACTTCCAGGTGTAGGTACCACTCTTCTGACCCCTGAAAGCGAATGGCCAGAAGATGAGTCGAAAATGCCCGATGCTTTTTGCCTCCTCACAAGTGCTCGTGCTGCTCTGATGCCCGAGACTGATACTGCTGTGAATGTGGACCCCACCAACTCTGCCGATATTGAGTTTGCTGTCCAACTTCTTTCTCAACTTCGTGGACAGCCTGCTTCAGTGGCTGCTGACTGGATCCGTGATGCGAGACGCTTCCTTGAAGTGCATCAGGCTGTTCAAGCCCTCTTGTCGTATGCTACAGCTCAAAATGTGTCAGTATTTGAAGAAAGGCTCTAAAAGTGACATGACAGAAATTCGTGTAGCCTCTTCTCACCTTCTCCTTACTAGGCTATTTCCCAGCACCGCCTGTTTCACATCCTACTTGTTGTCCTGTACCTGTAGAACAATAAAACAACACTAGCGTGTCTTCTTGCAAATAGCGTCTTCTGTGATTGTTTTTTTTTCAATAACTTTGACTTATCTTGCTATGAAGGGTTTTCTGTGCTGCTCCGTTGATGGAGGCATATTTGAAATATATATTGCCAAATTGGGGGGAGTTTCTAATGGAGAAGTGTTTGTAACGGACAGCGAACCCATAAGATCCTATTCAAGTCTTATTTTCGAATAAATGAACATTCCAATTTCTTAATTCTTGGTTGTTTTCACCATCCTTAGGGTCTATTTTGTCACTTGATAATTTTTTTCATTCCACTAGAAAATATCAGGTAGATGAGACTTGCTAAGACGGCTTTAATAGAGTTATTGCTCATCGCAATTAATCAATGTGGACTTACAATGATTTCGAAAAGCCTAGAACTTGTTCAAAATAACAGATTCCCAACAGCTGTTCGCTAACTTCCTTGAATTTTCTTCGCTGACGATAATCATATCTTACTAACCCGGTATCAACTTGCTACTTACGGAAATCTGAAGTTATCATTAAAACGATGAATTAATGGATAGTCGCATTGCTTCGAATGGTTTGCACTACCAATTCGAAATGGAAAGGACAGGCCAATCGCATGATCTTAAAGGGGGGGGGGGTCAAAGTAAAGTACACGCGATAGGAATCATTAGAAACCATAATCTATCCTTGACATACAAAAAAAGGATTGTGACGGTACTAATGGTATGCTTAAGTGATTTGGCATCTCTTGGTGCTTTAACATTACATAAGTAAATTTTTCGTTTCAATATTAAAATATCCGGTGAAAAAATGATGCTCTAAAAATGTCCAATGTTACTGGCAATCGGGAAAGAAGTGGCGTGCTTACAACGCCGCCTTAATCGCAATGTTCTACTGGTGCTTCCTATGGCTACTTGGTACGTATGTAGAGTAATAGTTGATAGCCCTAAGTCCTGGGGCAGCTGAACCCTCATTCCAGGACTGTTAAATTGTCTCCATCAATGATCTCAATGCCTGAAAGGTGTGTACCGAAGTAAATTCTCTTAGCTGAACCATACAAATCGGTTGCGTTTTGGGATTTGTCAACTATGAAATATCAATAATTGAACCAGCCAAAGCTATAACCTGATTGCAATTCAATCATTAACAGAGACCACTTATATCAAATTAAATGTTCAAGTGCTATTAGCTGGTAACATGTTGGGGGTGGGGGGGGGGGGGGGGGGGGGGGGGGGACAAGAGGAGAGTGCTCTACTATGAGCACTCAGTGGTATAAGTGGTCAGCCTCCATCCAAGTCAAGCGGTGCTCCAACTTTCCATTACTGGGGGGCTTGGGAAGGTGAGGGACAGTTAAAGTGAAATTGAACGAATAAAAAATTCGAAGGCTATAATTTTTCGCAAGAATTTCAAAACTTAGACTGTTTGAATTATAATCTTGTTCAAATTTCTTACTGAGCATTGTCACTGATATCGAAGCGCAAAAATTTCCTTCTTTCAAATTCTTCCGGTAATAAATGCTAACTCTTCCTAATTCACTACTTTAACAATGCTTCTTATTAATTAATAAACTATTTATTCACTGAGGTTGTAATCAGGTTTCTAAATGAGTCCAGGTATTCCGTGTTTTTTTTCAGGACTTGGAAGAGAAATCAAGCAGTAGCATGAAACAGACTGATAATTTAATTACTATAACGACATGAAAAAATCGAATTAAATTTTAATTCCCCTTTTCCTTAATGAATAAATAATTAATAATCAATACCATACACCATTGAGTTCTCCCGAATTGCAAAGCATTTATTGTTATTGTTGAATTTTCAGTAATTTCAACTGTACTCTAATCCTTATGGAAATTATCATCATTTGTTACAGCCTTAGGCATTTTAGAATCGAGGTCCGTCTGGCCAAGGGTTAAATGGATCACCCTTTAATTGAGACCACTCTTCCAAAGCTTTCTCAGAAAGACAAGACGAACCTTTAAGGCAAATAAACACCGCGGACACCCATTTCACTCGCTATTCACAGTGTCCAGTTCTAACTATTAATTTTTCGCAGACAATTGATGCAGCAACACACTCCTACTCACATGTTCACTTAATCTGCCCAACGTATTGCATACCTACTGACTTATACCTCTGTTATTTCTTTAGCAAGGACCAAAAACTGTGTTTACTGTTTCCATTTCACCTGTTCCTTACAGCTCCGGAGCCCACCCTCCCCCTCACCTCTTGAATATCCTCCTTTCAGCAATCATTCCTCCTTCAATTTCTCACCCCTTAGTCTCCCCGATCGAGAGAGGCTATTCACCGTGTTAGTCATAGGACGATCAATACTTCTATGTTGCGGGTGGGGTGGGGTTGGGGGGGGGGGGGGGAGGAAGGTTAGTTATTTAGCCTATCTCGGTCAAATTCCAAAAATAGATTTGCTTAGGGGGACGTTGGGGTTTGGGGGGTAGTGATTACTCTGCTTCTACAAGAACATAACGAAATTAAGGTCCAAATAAATTAAATATTCACGTTAAGTCCTCTTTTCTCTTGCCTCAAACTAAACCGAAGTTGCTGTGGCAAAATATTTTAATTCAGATTAATTATTTTTTATAGAATAAATGAAAGGCTCTCCTAAAGATTGGGGACATGGATAAATGTTGGCAGTTATGCGCATGCAAGATCCAGCAAAAAATGGTTACTTATGTATGCAATAAAAAAAATGAATTTTAGAAATTTTGAGAAAGAGATTTTATCATAAATCACAAACTGCCCAATCACGAATTTTTAGTTTTACCTAGGCGACATAAAAAATTCTAGCGAATTAAAAAATGCTCCGCTATTTAAGCTTGAGATTAAAAACATATACATTAAAGATCTGAAAGGAAAAGTTCAATTCTCGTATCAAGAACTTAAATGCCACCATACTCAACGAGTACGAGAAGGACTGGCTGGGAGCAGGAACGATGCATTCCGTTGAATGGACTTAAAGCTCTGTCCAGAAAACACCGAAACAGACAAATATGAGGAAAAGGTTGCTCTATACAGAAGCTGACCTACGGATCTGATTGGCCAATAAGGAACAGTGTGAGATCCTTTGAATAGATTAATCTGTGCAATCAGTGAATTAACTCTGATGATCAAAGAAGTCTTTAACAAGATTAACGGGAATTCAGGTAAAAGCTGAAAAAAATAATGGTTGGTAAATGGTTTCTCTTAAAGATCAAGAAATAATGCCCATCATTATTTTTACAAATAGCCTTAAGGGAGTCGTATAAAAGTGGAGTAAATTGTTGCTTACTGCGATGACATGACCAAAAATCAAATTAAATTATTTAGTTAATAGGCTGCGAATGTTGTGAGCGTAAGCTCACTTAATGACTTCAAAATTGAAATCTAAAAAAATTAAAACTTTGTTACAAAACATAATGCACTTGACGATACTCATTATTTCAAAAGCGGTCAATCGGGTGTAGCTAGAGTTCAAAAGGAGTTAGGAGAGAGCTTTTGATGTTTCACCCCACCCTAACCCCTCCCCCCCTCCCCCCCTCCCCTCCTCCCCTCCT